TCCTAAAGCAGTTACTTTACTCTCAACTCAAGAATGAAAAATGGGTGTCAGTGAACAGCAAAAGAGATGTAAATATGGGCTCATAGTTGACTTTTTTAAAAAGTGGCACAAACACCGAAGACTGGGAAGTCCTGGCCCTCGAGCGCCCTAACCATTGGCTGCTGTTACCAACGATGCTATGCATTTTGAAGAGATATAAATCGAGGACAAAAGTGAGAAACATGTCAAGAAAAAAGGTGCATCAAACAAATCCTTGCCATGACTGCCTTCCATCTGGAAATCTATGTCTTCATTGTGAAAGACCATGCGGATACAAAATAGGTCTTCACATTCATTTACAAACCCACCACCAAGACTCTACCCTTGGAAGACAATCATACTTGGCCATGAGTGATCATCAATGATGATGATGATGTCCAAAATGCTCTTATTTCTCTCCTTTCACCTTCCTCCTTTGTCCTCAGATAACTTCAGTTTATACAAACTGGGTTCAATGCATTTCATTAACTCAATATCAGGGAGAAGACAAGGTAGATTCAAGCAAAGATAAACTGCTTCAGTCTCTCCTAGCATGTGTGTTCTTCCCCATTCATAATTTTTGCTATATTAATCTTACTCTAATGGTTTATGTACATATCTATCCCAGTTTTCATCTGTCATATGTTGAAGGGCATGTTTTAATGGTTGTGCAGTTTCATACAATCTTCTAGGTTTGCTACTCTTAGAATCATAGAGTTGGAAGAGACCACATGGACCATGAACGCCTGCCATAAAGAATCATAGAGTTGGAAGAGACCACATGGACCATGAAGGCCTGCCATAAAGAATCATAGAGTTGGAAGAGACCACATGGACCATGAAGGCCTGCCATAAAGGCCCCCTGCCATGAAGGAGAAGCACAATCAAAGTGCTCCCAACAGATGGCCATTCACAGCTTCCAAGGAAGGAACTTCCACCACACTACGAGGCAAAGAGTTCCACTGTTGAACCGCTAGTATGGTCAGGAAGTTCTTCCTATTATTCAGGTGAAACCTCCTTTCTTCTCATTTGATCCCATTGCTCCGAGTTCTAGTTTCAAGGGCAGCAGAAAACATGCCTGCTCCCTCTTCCTTATGACATACTTTCCCATTTTTATATAAGGCTATCATGTCTCTTCTCAACCTTCTCTTCTGCAGGCTAAACATAGCCCGTTCTTTAAAACGCTCCTCATAGGGCATGGTCTCTAGACCTTTGATCATTTAGTTGCCCTCCTTTGGACACCTTCCAGCTTTTGAACTGTGGTGTCCACAACTAGACACAGTATTACAGAATAGAGAGGCACCATGACTTCCCTCGACCTAGACACTATACTGTACACCAAATTCCAAGGAAGCTCCCCAGATCCTGTACCAGTGCCTGTCATCTGTGATGGACTGGATGAGGACTAACAAGCTGAAGCTTAATCAAGACAAGACAGAGATCCTCCTGGTCAGTCGCTAGGGGTGCCAACCTGTGCCCGATGGGGTTACACTCCCCCTGAAGACACAGGTCTGCAATCTGGGGGTCTCCTGGACTCAGAACTGATGCTTCATGCTCAGGTGTTGGCGATGGCCAGGAGAGCCTTTGCACAAGCTGCCAGCTGCAACTGTACCTCAAGAAGCCTGACTTTGCCATAGTGGTCCATGCCTTGGTTACATCCAAATTTGATTACTGCAATTCACTCTATGTGGGGCTGCTTTTGAAGACAACCTGGAAACTGCAATTGGTACAAAGGTCGGCAGCCAGGCTTCTAACTGGAGGTAATTATAGGGAGCACACAACACCCCTATTAAAGCAGCTCCACTGGCTGCTGATAAGTTTCAGGTCCTAATTCAAGGTATAAGTTATGACTTACAGAGCCCTAAACAATTCAAGTCCTGCCTATCTTCATGACTGCATCTCCCACTATGAATTGGCACGGGCTGTAAGATCTGTTTTATATTCTTATGTTTTGTTTAAATTTGTTTTTATCTGGATTGTTATATTATATTATGCTCTTGTTTTATTTGTGTTTTGGCTTTAACGTATTGTTTTGCTTTTGCACACAGTTCTCCCATGACCAACAGAAAATACTGGAAGGGTTTGGAGGGGGGTGTCCTTTGGTTTTGGAGTTGTAGTTCACGTACATCCAGAGATCACTGTGGACTCAAACAATGATGGATCTGGACCAAACTCTACACGAATACTCAATATGCCCAAATGTGAACACTGGTGGAGTTTGGGGAAAATAGAATCTTGACATTTGAGAGTTTAGTTGCTGGGATTTATAGTTCACCTACAATCACAGAGCATTCTGAACCCCACCGACAATAGAATTGGGCCAAACCTCTCACATAGAACCCCCATGTGGGCCACAGCAACGCATGGCAGGGGATGGCTAGTATAACTATAAAATATAAATTAAATTGGAGACAGATGGCTAAAGAAAAGCAAGAGGAAGAGGGTTTGGAGGAGAATCCCACCCCTGATGTAACCTTGGTGCTGCCACGCAGACACAGAAACGAAATGGACCCATTGCACTGAGGTAGGTGACTGAAATGTTGGAAGCTTGGCAGCTATTAATAGTTTTTACCTGTCAATAGCAAGGGATTAGATAATCACGAAGAGGAGGCAGATTGGCAGCAGGATGCGCATCTCTTCACATAAGTCCAGCTGGAATGCCAATTTGCTAGTCTTGTGTGATAAAATACAAGATCTTTGTCACTAGATACTAGGGAGCACTTTACTGATTACTTATGCCATCTTTTGAAAAAAAATCTGTTAGTAGAAAAAAGATTTTGTTCAGCAATGTTCATGCCACCACAAGCATTGTTGCTTAATGGCAGTATGAAACTATCAGCTCTTACATGAGCCTATGAAATAGTTTGCTCTCTGTAAGCATAATGTTTTTTAAAAGAGGAGGACACTATTAATAAACATTCCAGCAAACAGGTTCCACCAAGCTGAATATAGTGAATTCATATTAGTTCTCAGGAATTTCTGTTTTCTCGTATAGGCAGTTGTTACATAAAAGAAATATGACAGAGGGTGTGGCTGGCATTTCCACATTTCCAGAACAACTCATATTAACTTTGCATTGATAAACTGAGCTGGGTTCCAGCCAAAATGAGAACAGGCATTTCCTTCCCTGCTGTTTCTATTAAAAAAGCTGGGATTGTAAGGTTTGCTGGAGCACCATTTCTTGAGAAAGGTCTATGCCTTTCTGAGCAATAGAATTATAGTGCTGTGGATTTTATTCTATGTTATTCTATGGCAGTCATGTAATATCAGCATGAGCAATCTCCTGTTGCGTACTTGCACTCCTCTGCCAATCTGTGGCCCCTCATTCGTATTTCCACATACTCTTGTAACCCTGCCCTCCTACACTTCCACTGCTCTGTAATTCTTTTACACGATTGCTTTATAAAAACAATTTCACAACCCTTTCTATGGTTAATCTTTCAAAAGCCAAATAATGCTGAATGTTTAAAAATCACTGATTCAGGAATAGTTAGGGGAACAGTCTTGAACAGCAATGGCTCCCAAAGTGATCCATTTAAGGTGGAATCAGGTGTCAAACAGGGATGTGTTATTGCCCCAACTTTATTCTCCATCTTCATTGCTATGATACTTCACCTTGTTGACAGAAACTTTCCCACCGGACTGTAAATCATCTACTGGACAGATGGCAAGCTATTTAACTTCAGCAGACTGAAAGCCAAAACCAAGGTTACAACAACATCTATTATAGAACTCCAGTATGCTGATGACAACGTCGTCTGTGCGCATTCAGAAGAAGATCTACAAACCACTCTAAACACCTTCGCAGAAGCATACAAGAAGCTCGGCTTGTTATTAAACATCGAGAAAACCAAAATGCTCTTCCAACAGTCACCAGCCAATCCCTCTCCAATGTCAAAGATACAAATTAATGGTGTAACATTAGAAAATGTTGACCATTTCCGCTACCTTGGCAGCCATGTCTCCACCAAAGTCAACATTGACACTGAAATTCAACACCGCCTGAGCTCTGTGAGTGCAGCATTTTTCTGAATGAAGCAGAGAGTGTTTGAGGACTGAGACATCCGTAAGGATACCAAGGTGCTTGTTTATAAAGCTACTGTCCTCCCAACCCTGCTATATGCCTGCAAGACGTGGACTATCTACAGACATCACATGCAACTCCTAGAACGATTCCATCAGCGTTGCCTCTGAAAAATCCTGCAAATCTCTTGGGAAGACAAGTGGACAAATGTCAGTGTGCTGGAAGAAGCAAAGACCACCAGCATTGAAGCGATGGTCCTCCGCCATCAACACCGCTGGACCGACCATATTGTCTGGATGCCCGACCACCGTCTCCCAAATCAGTTGCTCTATTCCAAACTCAAGAACGGAAAATGGAATATTGGAGGGCAGGAAAAGAGATTTGAAGATGGGCTCAAAGCCAACCTTAAAAACTCTGGCATAGACACTGACAACTGGAAAGCCCTAGCCTTTGAGCGCTCCAGTTGGAGGTCAGCTGTGACCAGCAGTGCTGTAGAATTTGAAGAGGCACGAATGGAGGGTGAAAGAGAGAAACGTGCCAAGAGGAAGGCGTGTCAAGCCAACCCTGACGGGGACCGCCTTCCACCTGGAAACTGATGCCCTCACTGTGGGAGATGATGTAGATCAAGAATAGGGCTCCACAGTCACCTACGGACCCACCGCCAGAACACCGACCTTGGAGGACTATCATCTTTGGACTATGAGGGATCGCCTAAGTAAGGGGAACAGTGGGAGAGGGAGAGTGGGAGAAAAGGAGAATCCTGCCCCTCAACGTCACTCAGTGCTGACATACCAGTACAGAAGCAGAACAGCCCTTTCACACCAGGTAGGTGACAGGGACATTGCAGGATTGGCATCTATTGATAGGTTTTTCCCATTAATAGAAGGGGAGAGATTAATCATAAGGAGAAAGCAAATGTTAACATGGAGCTTTATAGTAGAAATCAAAAATTACTTACAGTTTGGTTGAGGTTCTGGAGGGAATTTTATTCTTATGATGGCCAGAAGGATGAATGAAAACACAGGCCATGTTATTAACATAAATGACCATAACTGTGAAAGAGACAGAAAAAAATATTTGTTTTCATTTTGAGGTTATTTATTAAAACATCGAAATGGTGTTTAATGTTAGTTTTCATTTTAACAGCAAACACGTACTGATGATATTCTTCTGCCAAGACCTGATGCAACAAATAATGGTACAGATTCAATCATAGTGCAACAGAACAACCTCCATTCAATCTGATGTGAACCCCACTCCCTTCCAAAAGACAACAACATTGAGCAAGTTTTAAGGTACATGGAAGGCGATCTGCAGTGGGACAGATAGATGCCTCTCTTCTTATATTCTCATTAGTTAAATTTTAAATGGTTCCCAATGAGAAGAAAACCTATTAATTTGTTGTTGCACATCTGCAGGTTCAGGGCTCAGATACAACCCACCCCCAGGTACAGCTGGTGTTGTCAGAAAGACCGTATATGCATACATTATGACAGTGCTTCTCAACCTTCCTAATGCCGTGACCCCTTAACACGTTCTCATGTTGTGGTGACCCCCAACCATAACATTATTTTCGTTGCTGCATCATAACTGTAATTTTGCTACTGTTATGAACTGTAATGTAAATATCCAATATGCAAGATGTATTTTCATTCACTGGGCCAAATTTGGCACAAATACCCAAAACACCCAAATTTGAATACTACTGGGATTGGGTGAGGGATTGATAATGTCATTTGGGAGTTGTAGTTGATTTTATTTATAGTTCACCTACAATCAAAGAGCATTCTGAACTTCACCAATGATACTATTGAACCAAACTTGAACCAGAAAATACTCGAAGGATTTGATGGGCATTGATCTTGAGTTTTGGAGTGGTAGTTCACCTACATCCAGAGAGCACTGGGGACTCAAACAATGATGGAACTGGACCAAACTGGGCAAGAATACTCAATATGCCCAAATGTGAACACTGGTGGCATTTTGGGAAAATAGACATTGACAGTTGGGAGTTGTAGTTGCTGGGTTTTATAGTTCACCTATAATCAAAGAGCATTCTGAACCCCACCAACGAAAGAATTGGGCCAAACTTGGCACACAGTTCTCCCATGACCAACAGAAAATACTGGAAGGGTTTGGTGGGCAGTGTTCTTTGGTTTTGGAGTTGTAGTTCACCTACATCCAGAGATCACTGTGGACTCAAACAATGATGGATCTGGACCAAACTCTACATGAATACTCAATATGCCCAAATGTGACCAACAGAAAATACTGTGTTTTCTTATGGTCTTTGGCAACCCCTCTGATACCCCCTCCTGACCTCCCTAGGGGTCCCGACCCCCAGGTTGAGAACCACTGCATTATGGGATGTCTTGAAAATGAGGTCCAAATCTAAACACACACAAAACTCATTTATGTTTCATGTACAGCTTACAAACATAACTTTATACAACATTTTAAATAATTTTCTGCATGAAACAAGGTATGTGCACACTGAGCCAAAGAGCTAAGTTGTCACTATCTCAGTGGTCACTATAGATAATTATGGGTTTCCGATTTAAGGAAGGGCATGAATTTATTTTAAGATCTAAAAAATAGAGTTAGGGTTAGGGTTTGGGTTAGGGTTATGGTTAGGGTTAGGGTGGATGGGCCAATGCAGCATATGGCAGCTTCCTGTAACAATTTATTCCCAGGGTCATATGAGCTAGTCTTTCTGAGGTTCCTTCAGAGAAGCCATTGTTCATAAAGGCACTAGTGACTAAGGACCTTTTCACACTGATCACCAGAATCACCATACATTATGGTTAATCTGTCAACGCCATCAGGGGACATGGGGAACAGCTCCCATGGACCGCATTGCCCGGTTTACCAGCAAAATGATCCCACAGGGGAAGCGTCAACCATCTACGACAATTCAAAGATGGCCGTGACAAAGTCCATGATGAGGACTGCTCCGGTCGCCCTTCTTTGATTACAGACAATTTGGTGGCTTCAGTTGAAGCGAGGATTTGTGAGAACAGGCGATTCACAATAACAGATCTCTCAAACGAATTTCCTGATGTGTCAAGATCAGTGCTTTACAACATTGTTTCTGAACACCTAAAGTTTAGGAAACTGTGCTCCCGTTGGGTCCCGAAACTCTTAACAGAGAACCACAAAAAACAAATATTTGAGTGTGCGATCAAATCAAATCGTCTGTAATCAAAGAAGGGCGACCGGAGCAGTCCTCATCATGGACGTCGTCATGGCCATCTTTGAATTGTCGTACCCACTTACACACTTTGCTTTCACTCATAACAGTATCACCGTACACTTCACAAATCTGTCGATGAATTTCTGCAGCAGGCAGGTTCCTTGCTGACAAAAACCGTATCACTGAGCGAACCTCACATGCGGAGGTTGAGTTGATAGTCTTAAACATTTTTAAAGCACAGAACAGAACTGTATAGGTTAGCTACAGAGCGGAAACTGAGCACAGTTGTTCCCGAGGCATGCTGGTACACGACGCACATGCTCGTTGCGGTATGCGCGCGAACTACTAGTGTCTACAACAAAACGGACCTTACTTTAAAAATGCCCCTCGTATTTAAGATGTAGTCAAAGGGTGCTGTGGTTTTATATGCTTTTATGGTTTCAACTTGAATTGCTTTTAATATTAATGATGCTTAATACTGTTTAATATTTGTATATTTGCATATTTTCAGTTGTATTGTGATGGATTTAATTGTGAACCACTTTGAGACTCCGGACGGAGAGAAAAGCAGGATATAAATAAACATAATAATAATAATAATCTACTTCATAAATGCTTCTGTTAAAAAAAACCCAAAAACAAAATAGCCCACCTCTTTTGGGAATGCAAATATCCATATTGCAAAGTCTACAGAAAAGGCGAGCATGGGGTGGGGGAGGTAAGATGCAAGTGATGCAAAAAGAAGATTAGGAGATGTGGGGAGAGGAGATAAGGGGAAAAGAACAAGAGGAGAAGCAAAATACAGAGGCCTAATATCATGATCGCATATATTGTATATACTTGAATATAAACCTAGTTTTTCAGTCCTGTTTTTAGGCTGAAAAAGTCTCCCCCGGCTTATATTCGAGTCAATATTATTTATTATTTTACTTTGTTGTTGTTATTATTGTTGTTGTTGTTATTTTACTCTATTTATTATTGTTATTATTACATTTATTATTTTACTCTATTATTATTTCTTTTATTATTATTTTAATCTATTTATTATTATTGGAAAGATACGTAAGCATATTTACATTGAAGAAGGTTATAATAATGGTTGAATCAGAGTTGGACAGTCTTATGTTGCATTACGGTTTTATGTAAATATTCAAAAACATTTAACCAACTGATACTTCAATTAATGTAATTTTATTAGTATCTATTTTTATTTTGAAATTGACCCGTAAATGCCGCATTTCCCACCCTCGGCTTATACTCGAGTCAATATGTTTTCCCAGTTTTTTGTGGTAAAATTAGGTGCCTCGGCTTATATTCGGATCGGCTTATACTCAAGTATATATGGTAGATGTAATAGTGATCGTTTTCATAACAGTAAGTTGTCAAAATATTTCCATTTGCTTTAACAATACAATTGCTGTGAAACAAACTGGCGTGGCAAAATCCTTTAGAGTTTTGAAGATATTATTTCCTTAACAGAATAGCTATACTATATCTACTATAATCTATATTATACCAGAGTAGTGCCACTTTGATTGTCATGGTTCCCAATAGAAACTCCTGGAACTGTAGTTTGGTGAAGTATCTTCTACAAAGAAAGATGGAGCCATAGTAGTTAATGTAGTATGAAAGTGATAAAACTGTGTTCAACACATATTCCAAATCTTGTGCTTTTGATACACAGCCCATGCCATTTATAGCAGTTCCCTGATCCATGAAAGGAGAGGAGGATCTGCCTGAAATTAACTTGGGAGTATAGAGTGGTGTCAAAGGACTGAGAAGCAGCAGAAGCTGGTTTTGTATACTCTGCCTTTGACATTTGTCTAGCTTAGAACTGTAAGGTACAAGAAATATGTCAACTGTCAGTCTACTGAACCAAGCAAATATTTCAGGGACAGTCATCAAGCCAGGGCTAAAATAGAATTCCCACATTTTAAGCAAAAAGGAATTAGAAGCAGCATCTGATATTATTATTATTATTATTCGTAGTATAATATCTTGCCCTCTCCCCCAAATTATATTTAAACCAGAACAAATTAGCTGGTTGGGAACATCTAGTAACGAAACTTTAGAACAGAGGTACCCATTTTTGTCATGATAAATCAATAATATTTCCCAATTAAACTGTGGGTCTAAATGTGATGCTCCATAGACACTCAGACTCTTCAGTATTATTACTGAAAAGAGGGATGTGACTGTTTGGCCTGACTTAAAGCAATTCTTGAATTGACTCATCTGTAAATGTAAAAGCTACATGGCCAGACATGGTTCTACGAGGGGTATTTTTTAAGTAAGGTCCGTTTTGTTGTAGACACTAGTAGTTTGTGCGCATACCGCAATGAGCGCGTGCGTCGTGTACTGGCATGCCTCGGGAACAACTGTGCTCAGTTTCCGCTCTGTAGCTAACCTGTATGGTTCTGTTCTGTGCTTTAAAAATGTTTAAGACTATCAACTCACTCTCCGCATGTGAGGTTTGCTCGCTTCAACTGAAGCCACCAAATCGTCTGTAATCAAAGAAGGGCGACTAGAGCGGTCCTCATCATGGACGTTGTCACGGCCATCTTTGAATTGTCGTACTCACTTACACACTTTGCTTTCACTCATAACAGTATCACCGTACACTTCACAAATCTGTCGATGAATTTCTGCAGCAGGCAGGTTCCTTGCTGACAAAAACTGTATCACTGAGCGAACCTCATATGCGGAGGGTGAGTTGATAGTCTTAAACATTTTTAAAGCACAGAACAGAACCGTACAGGTTAGCTACAGAGCAGAAACTGAACAAAGTTTTTCCCAAGGCATGCCGGTACACGACACACACGCTCGTTGCGGTATGCGCGCGAACTACTAGGGTCTACA